TTCTTCGCCGCGTCAATTTGCAGTTGCAGTCCCTCAGGGGTGTCCGACATACCGACAAAATCATCCGCAAACAGCATTCCTGAAACCGACGTTTCCGTGTCCCCTACTTTTACTCCCTTCCGGACTGCCTCTACGACTTCCAACAGATCGTTGATGAACACCTGGAACAATGTGGGGGACAGCGTGCAACCTTGTGGAACCCCCTGCTCAATGTCGAAGAATTTAGACAGTTCTCCGTCTAGCATGACCGCGCTTTTCGTACACTCTGTCATCTTCTTCAGCACTCTCCACATTTTCCCTTGATCCCGTACTTAGGACAATTGTTTCCACAGCCCATTTCTCCATACGGTTTCGTATGCCTTTTTCACGAGCAGTACGTCGGCTTTCCAAAAGGTGGGGGCAACGACACATGCGTTTTCTACCAAGGACACAAAAAGGTGCCATAATTTGGGGGCATGCGTAGTTAGAAGGTTGCTCACCTCGCATGTGCACTCGCAGCAGTCACCGCCATCGTAGCCTGCCGAATCAGGGTAGCACGGGCGAAAGGAGGGGCATGAAAAACTTACAGGAGAGTGGTTACGCCAAGAGGGTTGGTCGGATGACACCGATTGAGTCCCTAACCTCGAACTATCTAACATGCCGACATGTGGACGGAAAGCCACGTCGGCTTCCGCACAAGTGCTCCACAACCCAACGCAATCTCACCGCACAGTTCGTTGTTGTTTTCCTCGTCACACCGTCCATCGCCCACACCTCTCAACCACCTGCGGTCAGTGGCATCAAGCGCGTTATTCGTGAAAGCGGCAAACATGAAGTTGAGGTTTGTTCCAGTACTGGAGCGTAGCAACGAGCCGCAATACCCCTTGTTTGTCCGGATCCCAAGTAACCACGGCAAATAAACGGCTGGACACGCGCCTGGACCGGGGAATCCGAAACTCACTCCGCGCGGGATACATCTGAACACGCCATCATCATGGCGACCTTGGGTTTGAGGGCTCAGCAAGGCAGAACAAAAAAAAAACACAACACACACACAAAAGAATGTTTTTAACCGCACCGAGACTGACGTCTTTTCATTGGTCAGCCGGTTAGCGCGGTCGATGCTGAAAACAATGACACACACACACACACACATGTGGGAAACTTCGCACTCATATTGGCGACATATCGCTGTCACGGCACGTACACCCATGCCACGCCGAACAACATATCGGTAGGGAAAAGCCATTCCCCAAAAAACAGGTGTGTTCGTACAGATTTCCGAAGGTACCGTCTCAGCGACAACACGTGGCAAAGCAGCAAACCTAGTGGAAGCATCGCACCCTTGGTTGTGCTGCTCGATGGACGTCTACACGCGGCACCACATTGGAGACCTACTCAACGGCACCAAGGAGAACATTAGACTCAATCGTGGTAAATGCAGCTTTGACATACCCGCACTCCTCCACCATGACGGCGGTGATGTCGTCGTCGTCAACACAGGGGGCGTCAGGGTCGATACATGCGCTGTAATTGTGGCAAGCCCAGTCGTCGTCGCCGTCAGATTGGCTCTGGCACATGAGTGAGCAGATACGGACAAAAGACTTGTTCAGGGTTGAAGAAGGCGGACTGGAGGGGAGGTCAGGGGCCAAGGCTAACATAGGCAGGACTCGTCCTAGCAATAGCAGCGGGAACTTGTGTTTTCAAAGAGTTCGCGAGGACCAGGAGGGAGGGTGGGGGGGCGTACTCATGTTTTGCATGCCTTGATTGCATTTTTTTTTTTTTGTCTTCACTTCAAACCAGCGCTCGTGGCACCAGTGCCTTTACTCCAACCCGTGGTCACACAGAAGAGCCCCTCTCTACCCTCCCCTCCTGCGGTACTTTGCCTTCGATTTTTAATGCGAGAAGAGTTCAGCCCTCTTTTCCCTCGGTGTACACACGAACTAGCGTTATCCACAAGGCCAGGAGCGGAAGCGAGAGAAAAACTTTCTTTGCAAGAAACGCTCGCTTACGCCGGGATTCGAACCCCTGACCTGACCTCTAGAAGGTTTCGAGGTTACCAATAGACCACCGGCAATGTAGCCCGTTGAATACGAGCGTCCTCGAGAGGATAGAGCATTGTTCTCACGAATCATCAGCGAGGACGTTCGGGGGCGGAGGAGTTACAGACGTACTTTCTCGGAAACCAACGCCATGAAGTACAGAACACAACAAGCGCTACGACAAAGTTGCAAGCTTCATCTTGATAGGTGGCAACTCGAGTATCGGCTTTCTTTCTGCAGACCCTACTGCTACGGAAAGTGTGTCCCTTTTATGTGCATCACCAGACACGTGCGAAGGCAGAACTGCAAACGTGTATCGCGTATAGACTAAGGGGTTCTTTAGAATTGAGACGGGGTATTCGAAGCTGAGAATTGCGCGTATCTGTCAAGGCCTCAAAGGGTCCAAACCATACATTCTTCGGACCTCCCACGTGGTTTTCGATTAACTCACCCCACACGTGCACTCACAGCAGTCGCCGCCGTCGTAACCTGAGGCAAGAAGGCACGCCAACGATCAAGCAGGGATGAGGACGTTGTTTGATGTATACATGTACGGCGAAGAAATCGGAAATGACCCGTATGCATAGGTGTGTGGCTTCCTTTGGTTCAAGACCCGCAACCCATGAGAGTAAAGAAAGCCTCACAGGTTTGCTAGACGTCCGGTTGACGGTGTGAGACCAACCAGAAACTAAAAATCCGCTGACGGGATTTCCAACATGCAGTGAATACACAACGCGCGTGGGGTGAGTGATGCCCCCGTCCAAAGGTGAAGGAAGTGGGGGGGGGGGGGGGTACTCTTATGTTTTGCATGCCTTAGCGGTTAGGCCATTGACCACGCGTCCTCGAGAGGACGGAGCATTGTTCCCACAGGACCGATCACCGATGGCCAATCGTTCCTTTCTACTACTTTGCCAAAGGTGGCTCAATAATGTCTTCCCTAGTCTGTCTATCCTAACGATATCCCTTCCCGCCTTTTCAACCCACCTCCTATGCCCCAGTACAGCTACCGTCCGTTCCTCTCTATTCCATGCCTCAAACATCTCCCTGTACGTTCCATCTATTTTCCCAGCTCAGTCACGTACACTTCCCTCTCCTTCTTGTACAACGGACATTCCGCTACTACATGAACACGGTCTTCGCATTCGAAGCCGCAATCACATTTGAACTCGTCGGAAGTGGGGGAGTGGGGGAAATGAGGGCGCCTCTGTGCACGAGGGGGCGCTGGAGCAGCAAGAGGAGCGTGTAGGTGAGGGAGCAAGAGCGAGAGAGAGGGAGAAAGAGAAACAAGAGACGGGACACGAAGCAGGCCACCTCTGCGTTAACTACTGTCAGGCGGTTGTCTGACACGGGTATGCGTAGGTCGATGGGCTTGCATACGTTCACGTGTGCAATAGATTTACATCCCATGGCCACATGAAACATTTACCGCAAATCTCGTTGTTGTTGTCCTGGTCACACCAGCCGTCCCCCAAGCCCAAAGTGGCGCAAATCTGCGCCATTTCGATGGTGATGTCGTCGTCGTCAACGCAGGGGGCGTCTGGGTCGATGCAGGCAAACCCGGAGCCGTCTTTGGAGCAGAGCCAGTCGTCGTCATCGCCCCGTGGGTTCTGTTTTGGTAAGCGCGCGGCAAAGGGAGGACAATGAAATTTTCACAACCAAGGGGATCTCGAAATGAGAGAGAGGCGTGGGAATGAGAGATGGAGAGAGGAAATTCAGGGAACCCGCCTAGGACACCTTCCGTGTGCATGCGTACAAAAAAAGAGGAAAGAGGAGATATGTCTAGGAAAAATGGTGAGAGTGGAGGGGATTGTTCGGCCTGAGAGATGGGAGGGGAAACGCACTTCGATAGTAACTAAATTGACTGCCCCTGTAATGCCTACGGGTAGTTCGAGCGCTTTGGATGCTTAGGATGTGTACACCCGTGGCCACGAACAGAAAGAATATGATCCGAGGTCAGATTCAGATTGGCGGGACGATAGGGGTGTGGAGGAAGGGCGAGGGGAGACAATTCTACCGAGGATGGAGAAGCAGCCTTTTTTAGGAGAATACATTCACGATTCACAAACTTCAAACCTCTTACCACGCATGTGCACTCGCAGCAGTCACCGCCGTCGTAGCCTGGGAGACATGGGCAAACAACGACAGAATGGGGGAGAGGGCAGACGATAAATACCATGGTCACACCTGATCTAGCCGTTGGGATGAGTTCGAGCAGGCTTGCATGCTATCCAAGTTCTAGCCAACTTTGCAAGAGGAAGGGCATGACTTTTAAACATCTTCATGTCTGGTGTTGAGCCACAAATGCTCACCGACCGCTTTCTGAAAAAGCGGCCGACGTGAAAGGTAAGAAAATGGCGGCATGGACAGGGCAGGTACGGCGAGAGGGATTGCCAAGTGCAAAGGGATATTCGCCATGCTATTTCCAACCTCAATTCGAACACATTCCTCCTCCTGACGCCCGACTCACGCGAAATCGCTGACGTTCTTCGCCCCTATCCTTTCCCGCTACAGCCTAAAAAGTGCGTGCTCCATATTCGAATTTCGTGCAACCCTCAGGTTGCTTTGGAGGGAACGATGGGCAATCTAGTGGGTCTAATTCTCGTTTTGGTTTGGGGATGCCCTACAGCCGTCATCGCACCCGTGGCAGTTTCGTGGGAGATTGAGATTCGCCGGGATAGCAAGAGGAGAGGCAAATTGGTGGATGAATTGCGGACAGAAGATAGGGAGGGGGGAGGGGGAGAGAGAGAGAAAGAGCACGGAGAGAGAGAGGACACAATGGAATAAATGCGATCGTAGGAGAGATCAGTTCTACACCATCAACGCCATGGCCACCTGGCGGGTGCATGCGAACAGTGAGATGAAGGAAGGTGAAATATAGACCAAGAACAGCAGCATGTATCGAGAGGTCACAAATTGAAAAGGTCAAGTTGTCACAAGGCTGATTTACTCTGAAGGCGTGATCTTCTTGATTCTTACCCCAACGAAACCGTCGAAAAGTGTTTCGGGAGTATGGTCATGTCCACGAAATCGAGCGAAATCTCTTTGTTTCGTTATACTTTTTCCCGTTGGGTGTATCGTTTCCCGGGCCAACGTACCGCACTCTGCTTTGTTGTTCCCATCTTCGCAGTAACCGTCTCCGATACCGTCAAGCGATTGACAGTTCTCCACCATTTCAGCGGTAACGTCGTCATCGTCGACGCAAGAGGCGTCCGGGTCGATGCAGGCCATGTAGTCTTTGTGGCACCCCCAAGAGTTATTGTCGCCATCGCTTTGAGTCTGGAGTGGGTAGGGGCAGCACACTTTGAGCGGGTATTTCATTTCTCAGCAAGGGCACTTCGAGTCGGGGGGGAAGGGCAGACAGAGAGATAACTGAGGCCATGCTACATGGAACCCTCTGGCATGGGAATTTGAAACGTGGAAACGCATCGGGTTTGCATCCGCGTGCAACATGCCAGTACCAACAGGTGCGCTTGATTGGGAAATCAGACCGTGTCGAGGGCGGATGGGGCACACCCACCCAGAGAGCAGAGCAACCTCTCGAACCCACACGGGAAAAATAAATCGTACCTGGCAAGTGCACTCGCAGCAGTCACCGCCGTCGTAGCCTGTGAAGGCGGGGGGTGAGGGGGGACGACAACGAATGACAGCAGGAAACGAGGGACCGGACAGTGACAAGTCAGCTCGAACGCGTTGCAACGAGGGTATTGTAGGCTCATACTGTGTAGCTGAATGCTCGGGTCGTTGCGCCTTCAGCACGTACTAATCAAACCTACGGGCGATTGCTCATCGCACAGCAGGATTTGCGGCTATGCGAATACTCGCAAGATTGAGCGAAAGGAGGTCACTCTTGAACATTTTTTCTGAAGATGAGCACGTCACACCACCAGGGGGTACACATACCGCATTCTGCGTTGTTGTTTTGCTGCTCGCAGTACCCGTCTCCGTAGCCACCCTCCCAGCAGCCCGAACTGCTCCAGGAGTAGGCGGCGACGCTGGACAGGACGACCGCTGCACCCAGGACGCNCGAAGTGTGGCCTGCTTGACGAAGGCATCGCAGCGCGAATTGAACTACACGGTCAGTTAACCTCGCAACCTTGTGAGGTTTGAAGCAAAAGGCAGAAAAGTGCAAAACCGTTGTTGCTGAGACCTGGCTCGGAATCTCAGCGCAGTCGCACGAACAGGAACATTAGTAGTTGGTTGTCTTAGCGAAAGAAACGCTCCTATCTCCAAATATTCCATCACGCGTGCTGGTGTAGCTGAACACCGACGCCATCCGTGGTTGCAATCTTACTGTACCTACAAAGGATGGTGC